ATACAGATATAATATAGCACATTACCCGTAAATAAACATACAGATTTTTTTATTGAAAAAAAAAAATACAAAACACCAATATATTTGTCATGACACCATAAAAAGAACCTAAATACCTACTTCACTCTTTTGAAGTGCTTGATATTTAAAGAATCCGTCACCAGGCAGTGGGGGCAAAAATGATGAACTGTACCAGACCATGTATGTCACAAACCACGTTGACATGGCCACTATGCCTGCCAGTAGTTTTTCAGGCATTGTGTGGAAATACATCATTGTTGTGATGAGCATTAGCTCCCAAATAGCGACAAAAACTGTGATTACAATGAATAAAACTTGTACATAAGGCGTCATCTTCTTGTAAACTGCTTTCATCTCTTGCAGTTGGTTTTCTTTAAGACTGCTAAATGTGGTCGCCACACTTTTGCCTTCTTTGCGAGCGTTCTCTTCATTTCTCAAGACATCTTGAATTTTATCCCAGCCAACGATTGGCCTAGCTTCACTTATCATCACCAGTGTACTATAGATGAGTATGAAAACGTGACCGGATATGTCAAACGATTTCCACACGTGGCCAGCAGACTTGCACGCCAATCGGGTCAGTCCTCTGCCCGCCGAACACTTGCCGTAATAATCTTCGAGTCGATTGAAGGCGTTTGTCCAAAAGTACCAGAAAAATGTGGCGACYACCAGACGAGTGGCGTGCACGATAATGCTTGGTCGCGAGTTGAGGCAGAACACCTTGCTGGTCGTTATCAGAAACGACAGCGTCCACAGAACCGTCCAGAACCAACCCAGCTTGACCAGGTACTGGTTGAGAAACGTGTCGCTGTTGGCGAAGTAAATTTTCGGGAACCTGATGAAGTCACCGACCACGGACGCGACCAGCAGGATCAAGTACACGAACAGCCGTTTGTGCGTCGAGAAAAACAGATACTTTCTGCACGCAAACAGCAACACGGTCAGGAATATGTTGAACACGGTCGTCGGTTCCCTGACAAGCAGCGTGCCTTTGGTCTCATGTCTCATGGCCAAACCCGAAGAAGGTATGTAATTCGATTCGATCGACCCGGACCGAGTGCTCCGTTTGGTGGTCATGTCTGGGTGTGGGCGAAATTGAATTCGGCTAGATCACAGTGTGCGCGGCACTCGAGGACGACGTGTGAGCTAAAGATATTTTTAATTCCGCGAAGTAAAGGCACTTGACCCGGTGGCTGTGTCACATCATCGTCTCCGTACGTCCGAGGATCGATTATTTTCAACAGTCTACAGTAAACAAAGATCACTTCCAGGTACTTACGTCTTACTTTCACCTATCCGGACGTCCATCGTCACAGCCGTCGAATACAATATTAAATTATAACATTATTTTCATTCATTTTTTGTGATAACAGCACTGGTGATTCTCGTCTTGTCACGGTTTTTATCAGAAGCCGAAAATCCGTTTTTTTTTTTTTCATTGTTATTATAAATTCTCGACCGGAATGATAATAATTACCATAATATTCTGTTAAGTTGTTTTTGCAACAGCGTTTCTCGATTAACACCACGATTGCCTGCAGAACACGAAAACCTCGAAGAAAACTGATTGAAAGTGCAATAATAAATGCTGCAATCGATGTCTGATACTACTTAAGAGTTCCGATGTACCGGCACAAACTGAATTGCATAATTTTTAGCTTAATGTGGGCAGTGGCGCCAGACTAAATTTTTATGGATATTGGAGGGGGGCAATGATATTCAAATAGTACCTACCTTCCCACGCAAGCATTTATTAATTGAAGCCGAAGGTGCATCGCCTCCCCCCTCCCCCCCAAACCCAATCTAAATTTTTTGAAGACCTTATATTTGTAATTTAAATTTCTAAACATTGGGCTGTTTATTTGTATGCAATAAAAAAAAATTATATATTTATAGTAAATTAATAATTTATTGAATTATAATAATGGAAAGAGTAATAATAATATTTTATTTACAGTGAAAATGATTTTTTTCTGCTACAGTTTTGAGCAAACGTCTTCACCAATAACGATAATAATAA